CAACCACTGAGCCATGCCAGCTGGCTTATAATATACTTCTTTAACTTATCACAATATGTTCAGATAAAATTATACACTTTGCATATAGTGCAAGAAACAGTATAAGAACCTTACAGCAGTATATTTTTACTTCCTCTCTCCATCTTTTCTGCTGTTGTTTTCCTGCATTTTATTTCTACAACATGTCATAAACCCTACAATACTTTGTCCTATATTTGCTTTGGATAGTCAACCCTCTTTTAAAGCAATTAAAATGAGAAAAAAATATTATCTTTGCCTTTATTTTTACTATTTTCATACTTTTTATTTCTTTTTGTAAAATGCCCATTTCCATCAGGTATTTTTTTGCCTCTAGAACTTTCTTTAACAGTTCTTATTAGTACAAGGCTGCTGCCAGTGAATTCTCACAGCTTGTTTGTCTGAAAAAGTCTTCATTTCACTTTCTTTTTTCTCTCTCTCTTTTATAGTCTTTATTTTGTGAGCAGTTTTAGGTTTATAGAAAAACTGAGCAGAAAGTACAGAGTTCCTGTATTCCTTAACTATCCAAGCATGTCTAAGCCAAACAGTAGACCTTCAGCATATTAACCACACTTACCTTTTCTTTCTTGTTAGTCCTCACCCGGGCATATTTTTCCATTGATTTTTAGAGACAGAAAGAGAAACATTGGTGTGAGGGAGGTACATCGATTAGTTGTCTCCCACACGGGCCTGCAACTGAGGTATGTGCCCTTGACTGGAATCGAACCCAGACCCTTCAGTCCATGGGCCGATGCTCTATCCACTGAGCCAAACCAGCTGGGGATAACCACACTTATCTAAAAGTCCTAGTCTGAGGTGTTCAGCATTTGGACCCCATGTCCTCACCCTTCCTTGTCTCTCTGGAAGCCCAACTCCTGCTCATCCTCAGTCTCGTCTTTCCAGCTCCCCTCCATGTTCTTCTCTGTCTTAAGGACCTTGTCACTGTTCATCACCCTTGGTGTTCTGATCTACTTATGGGCCTTGACTGTGAGCTCCTTCAGGCAGGGCCTGGAACCTTCTTGTCTCTGTACCCCAAGCTTCTTGCCCTGAGTCTGGAGCCAGTTGGGCTGAACTCATGAATGTAACTGCATGAGTGGGTGAGGAAAAGAAGGGACAAAGACAGGAAGGCTTACTTGCACAGTTACATTTCCAGGGGACATTGCCATGTAAAGTTAAGCCATCATTTTTCTTTATAATTTAAAAAAATCCGTGAAAATAATACTTGTTGAAACATTTTGCAATTTTAGGTGTTCAATAGTGAGAGTCCCCTCTCCTCACTAGTCTTAGGTAATGACTGGGAACAGTTCAGTGTGTATTCTTCTACATTTTTTTCTAAATGAGTGTGTGTATATATACACTGAGTGGCCAGATTATTATGACCATCTGACGTTTATAGGCAAATTTCGCTCTGAAGTTGCTAGAGGGCCAGACCATTATAAATAGGGAAGCAGGTTGTTTACCACGACAGTAGAAGTGATTTTTTTCTTTTAACCAGCTGCCTGATGGCTCTTTTAACTTCTCCCACAAATGCTCAATTGGATTGAGATCTGGTGATTGTGGGGGCCACCTAAGCAAGGTAAAGTCTCCCTCGTGTTCTTGAAACCACTCCTGCACAATACGAGCACCGTGGCATGGCGCATTGTCTTGTTGGAAGAAGCCATCTCCATTGGGATACACCATCTACATGATAGGATGAACTTGATCAGCAACGATACTTAAGTATGTGGTGCTATTCAGACGTTGTTCCACAGGAATTAAGGGCCCAAATCATGCCAGGAAAACATGCCCCAAACCGTAACACTGCCCCCACCAGCTTGAAGGGTTGTACTCAAGTATGTGGGGTGCATGCTTTCATGCTGTTTCCACCAAATTCTCACTCTGCCATCTGCATGATGCAGCTGGAAACGTGATTCATTGGACCACATGACATTTTTCCAATGCTCGACTGTCCAATCCTTGTGTTCCTGTGTGAATTGGAGACATTTTATCTTGGTAACTGCAGACAGCAAAGGTGTTCGAACAGGCCTTCAGCTTCCATATCTCATACGATGCAGTGTACAGCTAATTTGCCTACGTCAGGTGGTCATAATAATCTGGTCACTCGGTGTGTATATATATGTATATGTACATATGTATATATATATGTGTATATATGTCTTTGTGTACATGTTTTGCACATATTATGTACATAAATATAATTTGTGTTAAGAAATGGACTTACACCATATGTAAAATTCCTTACCTTGCCTTTTCATTTATTGTATCCTGGCATCTCTTTAACTCAGTGCATATCCATGGCACCTTTAAAAATGGTTGTATAGCCCAGTTGGAGTGCCTGAGTTGGTTGAGCATCGTCCTGTGCACTGAAAGGTTCCTGGTTCGATTCCCTGTCAGAGCTCATGCCTGGATTGTGGGCTTGATCCCCCAGTTGGGGCATGTGTGTGAGGCAACTGATTCTCTCACATCGATGTTTCTCTCTCTCACTTCCTCTCTCTAAGTATGTCCTCAGGTGAGAATTTAAAATAAAGCATATAAGCATAACCAATGGACATAAGACACTGGGGGATAGTGGAGGCTAGGGGACTGTCTAGGGCGGTGGGGGGGGAATGGACACATATGTAATACCCTTTGTAATAAAAAATTAAAAAAAAAATAATAAAAATAAATAAAAATGGTTGTATAGTATATCAATGCATAGATATATCATAATTCATTTAAGCTTCCTTCTTTTGATAGACATTTTGATTGCAGTTCTTTGCTTATATTGTAATACTAATGGCTGACACCCTCGAGGGCTTATCATGCGCTTAGTACCATTCTATGAGCTTCCCATGCATACTCTCAGTTACTCTTCATGACACTTTTCTGAAGCATGCAAGGTTGTCCCTCTCTTCTCACCTCATTAGCATTGCTGACAGGGGAAGTATTGAGGCTGATGCTTCTGGACTCTGCTCATCTACTCTGACCTCTCCAGGTCACGGCAACATAAAGAAGCCAAATTTTCCAAAGCTTTGGTGCTCAAAGCAACAATTGCTTTGTGTCTTTAGTTCCCTCCCATCTGCAGTCACTGTGGTAGATTTGTCCCTGTTCAGGGCTCTCCCTCACTCCTTCCTTGCTTCCTTAAGAGGGCAGGTCCCCTGTGACCACTTGAGGCTGGATGCAGATCTGTCTATCTGTGCTATGGCCCTAGAAGCAGATTGGGGATCTTGGTTGCTTGATTTCCCAGGGGAGGCTGACATGAATGTGGTCCAGTGAAATGTAATCAGGGACTTTATAGTGTCTGTTTCGACTTTCCCAAACCTCCTGGCTGCCAGATCTCGACCTTTCATCCCAGGGGTGGTATAAGTCTCTCTACGGACAGGCTGGAGTTGATGGATTTCTTCCTTGTAGTATGTGGGCCAAGACTGCCTCTTTGAATTCCACATTTCTAGCCTTTTCCTAAAAATCAAGGTGGGTTTTCACCTTTAGCTAGTTCTCCAGATGAACAACCAGAAGTGATGTTTGTTGATCCTGGATTGTCAGGTAGCCAGAGGACAGAGATAGGCAAGCAGGGGCCCCTTTCCATTTGCTAGTCCCTCTTCTCACTCATCGAGTCCTCCAGGTCACTGTAAGCCACTGCTGATTGCACTGAATGTCCCTTCCTCCATGTCTTTATATAAAACAGCTTTATTGAGGCATATTTTTCATGCAATAAATTTCACCCACTTAAAGAGTCCAGTGAGACGAGTTTGGGTAAATGGACACAGTCATGCAGCCATCACCGTGGTCAAGTTTGAACATTTCCATCACCCTCTTTCTCCCCCCTTTGTGGTCAGCCCCTCCCTCCCTCACCACAATTGGCCCAGGCAACCACTGACTTGTTTCTCGACGCTAAGGTTTTTAGAATTTCATGTATATGAAATCATGTGGTATGTAGTCTTTTCTGTATGGCTGCTTTTTCTTACTTAGCAAAGTGCATTTGTTATTTGTGCCTTTGGTTACCAGCAGTTCATACCTTTTTATTGCTGAGTCATATTCCATGGTGTGGATAGCCCTTGTTGACAAGAATTGGAGCTTTCCATTGTGTGGCTATTACAAAAAAATGCTTATATGGACATTTGTGCACAAGTTTTTGTGTGGATGCACCTTTCATTTCATTTGGGTAAATAAATACCCAGGAGAGAATTGTTGGGTTGAATAATAAATGTATGTTTGACTTTTTGAGGAACTCTCAAATTGTTTTCCAGATCATATGTGCTGTTTTGCATTCTCTCTGACGATGTCAGTGTGTTCCTGTTGCTTTATATCTTTCTATCTAGTACCAGCACCAGGTACTCTCACAATTTGAGTTCTTGTAGTGGGTGTAGTGCTACCTCATTGTGGCTTTTTTTGGTCTTTGTGTTTTGTTATGTCTTTAACCTTAATTTTGAAATATTTTCAGATTTTCAGAAGATCTGCAAGATAGTGCAGAGAGTTTCTGTGTAGCTTTTGCCCGGCGCCCTCTAATGTGTTGGTTCTCAACCAGCGGGGATTTTGCTCCACTGCCCTGCAGACATTTTTGGTTGTCACATCATGGGGTGAGGATGCTGCTGGCACCTAGTGGGTAGAGAGCATTTCAGACTGAGATGGCCATCAATGTCTCTTTGGGCTTTTCCTTCTGCATTTATTGGTCACTTAATCCCCTCCCATGTCATGGGGCCTGTCTCCCAAGTCTGTCTAGGTCTGAAGAATCAGTCAGAAAAGGAATAGAGGGTTTCCCTTGTCCCAAGTGGACAGTTTGGACCTCCAGTGACCGCCAGATTAGAAGACACGGTCCCGTCCCTGTAGGCTATTGACCCACATTGGGATGATCATATTTGGACGTTCCTGGACACTTCCTCCCCTCCGGATGGAGGTCACAGACTTTCCTTTGCTCCCTGGTTGTATGATCTGCCTGTAGCCCGCGCCCTAGCAGTCCATGTTGTCCATGTAACTGTTTGTTGTATCATTTCTCGTCTCTACAGTCAGATTATTGCCAGAGGGCTACTTGATATCTTCAGGGACTTTGGTAACGATGAAGAAGACTTCTTAACGGTCATGGCAATTGTGGTCAGATTGTCAGAAGATGCAGGTTTGTACAAGGAGTATATACTTTTACATTTTACTTGCTTATTTCCAAGAAATTGTTTATAACCAATGATAGCTGACATAAAAAAAAAACCCTGTTTATTAATCAATAAATTTAAAGCAATGTCTGCCCATGAATGGATTTTGTCATGAAGAATGGGTGTCTTGTTTGGCATCAGATGATCCTTATTTTCAGAAAATGAGAATGACTAACGGCTATGAATGCCCTTTGCCCTGGCAGTTAGGCCTTTTGTATTTCACGAGTTCTGCCAGACTATTGGTTGCTAAGAAATAGCCAATCAAAAGAAGGATTACAACAATCCAGTCATTACTCTCCCTCACCTCTGATCTTTGTAGACTAATCTTGATTTTTCTTTCTCTTTCTACCTCCACGATTGCTATTGTGGAAGAAAAGCACACTGCTGTATGGTAGACACTGAGATATAACCCTTGCCTCGAACAGATGAGTCAGATGACTGAGTAGTGGGTTTGCCAGTACTGACAGCTAAACCCCCCATTTATAATGACTGGTGGACAGCTTCAGAAAGTTTTAGATATCTTAGATTTGCTTTAGGTTTTGATCATTTTAACTGAAAATGGCAAAATAAGCCTTCCATGTAGTTACCATATTAGTTTAAAATATTCATAAGACTATGACACAATGTTTTTAAAAAGGCCCAAGTGGATGTTTTGAGTCGTTAAATGGATTCTCTTTATAAATGAGTCACCATTTACAGCACTGAAGCAATTATATATTTGTGTTAAATTTAATGTGGTATATTGGCGCTCAAGCTGCTCTTTTGTTTAATGCTTTGCCTTAGAAATAATTGGGATGCGTGGATTGTGGGGGAGTGCATTTATGAAAGAATTATTTATAATGTATACATTCTGGCTGGAATTTAAATAAGCACAACCCATAGGTCTGGCATATATGCCATTAGTTGTAATGGCTTTTGGACGCTGGCCCAGGATGCAGACTTCTTGTACCCTCCTCGATTTATATATGGCTTGTTATAATAGAGTTGTCATTCTCTCTTCTTTTTATGTTTTTATATTGCCATATAGCTTATTAGCTTTTTAAGCCTGTCTGTAGCATAAATACTCTGAATGGGAAATGATCTTTAAACTGCATTTGTCTAATTTTTTTGATAAAGTATTTTAGTAAGAAAAGCTAGAAACTATCAGTATGTACTAAATAAGATGCTTGGTGTAGTCTTATATAATTCTTTTCTTTGTTGTTTTTTATTGCTGCAGAGCCCACAGTGCGGACTGAGCTGATGGAACAGATTCCTCCTATTGCCATTTTTTTACAAGAAAACAGGTCAAATTTTTCAAAGGTGTTCTCCGAATATCTCATACCTATTGTAGTGCGGTACCTCACCGATCGAAACAATCAGGTATGAAAAATTGTAACCTTAAGATCTCGATAGCAGATTCTCTTTAGTCTTACTTAACTGATCTTCGTCATTCAGAAAACAGCTTCTTAGAGTGAGGTGATTTGGGCAGAAAAGATCTGTTTGTGCCCTGTCCCTCTAATCACCTAGGAAGGTAGACGATATTATTATGAGATGCTGCTTTTATTTTTTTTTACTTTTTATTATGGAAATTCCCAAACACACATAGCAGTAGAGAGAATATTAAAATGAATGCTCATGTGCTGTTCCCCAGCTTCACTATCATTAGCATTTGACCAGTCTTTTTTCATTTCGCTTACCAACATAAATCCAACCCAGATAAAAGCAGTTCCCAGACACTGTATCATTTCAGCTATGAATGCTTTAGTATTACACTCTGAGAAATATAGACACTTTAAAAACATAATGACAGTGCCATTATCACAAGTGTAAAAATTATCAGTAGTTTCTTAATATCATCTGTTATCTAGTCATTGTTCAAATTTCCCCAGTTTTCTCATAAATCTGGTTTTGCAGATAGACTGTTCAAATCAGACAACATACAAGTTCATACTTGGATTTGGTTGACATGTCTTTAAATCTCTTTTAATTTATAAAGGTCTCCCTCCCTATTTCCCTCTGCTATTTGTTTGTTGAAGAAACTGGGCCATTAGTCGTGTCAGATTTCCCGCACTTGGGATCTGGCTGATCTTGTCCCCATCGTGTTGTTCGAGATGTTCCTCCATTCTCAGTATTTCCCACACTGTAGGCAGTTTAGAGGCTGTCAGACTTCTTTATCGTACAGTGAGCATATGTTCTGGATGCTGCTGTGTTTTCCTCCAGCATCAAGTCAGGGAGCAGAGAGCTGTGTAGTCGCTGGGTGCAGGTGTTGTCAGCCTTCCCTGTGCATTATGAAATCCCCATCAACCAGGGGCAGCCATGGATGATCATGGCCACATCCAGGATTTCATTAGAGGCTGTAAACTTGTGATGCTCAAATCCCATCATTTCTTCTTCATTTCATAGCTGGGTTTCTTCTATAAAGAATTTCTCCCTCAGCTATTTGGTAACCCTGAAAATCAGTTTGTCCAGGGAAGACAGTGTAAATGCTTATTTCCCCCTTTATTTATCAGTTTCTAGAATAATTAGTTGGTGTCCTAATAATCTGCAAAGTTTACCAATTAGGTTTTAAAAATTTGTTTGATTATTGTTATGAACCTGTGAATTTTAGCATATTAGATGTTTCCATCCATTGCAGCCATCCTTTTTGATCACCAAATTATCCTAGCTTTTTAAGAAAATAATATGTTTTCATTGATTTTAGAGAGGGACAGGGGGAGAGAGATAGAAACATCAGTGATAAGAAAGAATCATTGATTGGTTGCCTTCTGCACACCCCACACTGGGGATCAAGCCAGGCATGCTCCCTGACCGGGAATTGAACCATGACCTCCTGGTTCATAGGTTGACACTCAACCACTGAGCCATACCAGCCAGACAAATTATCCTAAGTTTGATCAGAGGGAGCTCTGTAAGGTAGCCCCTGAATCTTCTTGACATGACCGGGTAGACTTGGATAGCTCACTTTTACCTGCAACTGGCCATTTCTCCAAGATGCCCTGGTTCCTTTAAGAGGGAAATGATAAATCCCATTTACCATGGCAACAAAAAAAATTAAGATACCTAGGAATAAACTTAATTAAGGAGGTAAAAGACCTGTACTCAGAAAACTACAGGATGTTGGAAAAAAGAGATAGAGGAGGACATAAACAAATGGAAGAATATACCGTGTTCACGGATTAGTAGAATCAACATCATTAAAATGTCCATACTACCCAAAGCAATCTATATATTCAATGCAATCACCATTAAAATACCAACGGCATATTTCACAATCCTAGAATAAACTCTCCAAAAATTCTTATGGAATAAAAAAAGACCCTGAATAGCCACAGCAATCCTGAGAAAGAAGAACAAAGTTGGAGGGGTCACAATATCGGATATTTGACACAGGAGGCAAGAGCTTACAATGGAGTCAAGACAGTCTCTTCAGTAAATGGTGTTAGAAAAATTGGATACATACATGCAAAAAAAATGAAACTAGACCACCAACTTACACCATTCACAAGAATAAATTCAAAATGGATAAAGGACTTAAACATAAGACAGGAAACCATAAAAATCTTAGAAGACTCCATAGGCAACAAAATATCAGACATATGTCATAGCAGTATCTTCACTGATATAGCTGCTAGGACAATGGAAACTTAGGACAAAATAAACAAATTTTACATCAAAATAAAAAGCTTCTGCACAGCAAAGGAAACCAACAAAATGACAAGAAAGCCACTCCATGGGAGAACATATTTACCAATGTTATCTCTGATAAGGCTTTAATCTCCAAAATTTACAGGGAACTCATACAACTTAACAAAAGAAAGATAAACAATCCTATCAGAAAATGGGCAAAGGACCTAAATAGACACTTTTCAAAAGAGGACATACAGAAGGCCAAGAGACATATGAAAGCATACTCAAAGTCACTAATAATCTGGAAGATGCAAATCAAAAGGGCAATAGGGTATTATCTCACACCTGTCAGAATGACAAATCAACAAACGACAAGTGCTGGAGAGGATGTGGAGAAAAGTAACACTTGTGCACTGCTGGTGGGAATGTCGACTTGGGCAGCCACTATGGAAAACAGTATGGAGTTTCCTCAAAAAACTGACAATGGAACTCCCATTTGACCTTGTGACCCCACTTCTAGGAATATATCCCAAGCAAGCATGGATGGACATGGAGAGCATGTTGCTAAGTGAAATAAGCCAGTCAGAGAAAGACAAATATCACATGATCTTACTCATTTGTGGAATATAATGGACAACATAAATTGATGAACAAAAATAGAGCCAGAGTCATAGAAGCATCGAACAGACTGTCCAACCTAAGAGGGAAGACAGGAGATGGGGCGGGGTGGGGCGGGGGGAGTAATTCTAGTTTCACAAAACTAGAATTCTAACTATCTTTTCATTTGCCATTGAAAAGATATATAGTTAGAATTCTAGTTTTGTGAAACTCTTATAAAAATACTATATCCTCCTTCCTCCAACCCCCCCACTCCCCCACAAAAAAGAGGGATATGATAATAGGAAGCCAGAGTATGGATACTAGGGTGCTCATTGCTATGAGATTAGTCATTGCTTCTAGTGACAGTGCAATTGATTTTTTTAAAAAAAGAAAATTCCTCCTAAGGCTATATTGATATTTCCAGTTCAAAATGTAAATGTAAGCAAAAACTCTAGGTTTATAGAGTTTTTACTTATTTGATTATATATGTGTGTGCATATATTATTTTTTACACAGTACGAATCTTGCTTCCTAATGGTATTAACATGTATGTATGCGTATATCTAGAAGGAAAGTACTTGTGTTATTACTAAGCCTACGGTAGAATTACTGGCTGTAGTTTAAGATTTACTTGTTCTCAGGCCATCTGCCCTGGAGACACAGTCATGTGAGTAGTCCCACATTTTCAAGTCACTTGCATCAGCCCTTCTCGTGGTAAATCTGATAGCTTGATATGCATTTAGGCTCATTTGTTTTCATTTTTTTATTTGTAGGAATTGCTTTAGCATTTACATTTTGATTTAATTTAGACTTATAATTAGTTAAAATGTTTTTATGTGATTCCACAGGAAAAGCTGTAAAACAGACTCAGTATATTCAGAGAAACCTGACTTCCATTCTGATCTCCCTGCCTGTCTCTCCTGCCCCTGTAAATTTTTTAGGAGTGTCTGATAAACCATTTTCAGTAGGTTTTGGTTTATTCTTACCTTTATCAAACACACACACATAACTCTAAGCAAATTCACATATGTCCTTGTCTTCTGCCCCATCTTGTTCCTCCTCTTAGCTGGAAGGTGGCTGCTGTGTTTGCTGCTCCGTTCCTTGCTTTTCGGTGTCCTGGGGGTCAGCCTATAGCAGTCCAGGGAAAGCCTCCTTATTCCTTTGCTCTGGCTGCATAGCACTCCAATGAGCACATATACCATTGTTTATCAACAGACATTTGGGTTATCTCTCCTTTTTGCCACTTTAAAATTATTGCAACACATAGCCTTACATCATTTCTGTCTTTCAGTTTATTGTGGGAGTGGATTTCCACAAAGGCTAAATATATTTATAGTTTTTTTATGATATGCTACATTTTCATTATTGTTATTTTCAAGAAATTCTACAGTGTGGACTTGTATTTCTTCCTTGAGCCAAGCATTTTAAAAAGAGTAAATATTTACTTTTAAATGTTGAACAGTGTGACAGGTTTAAATGTAGTTTCAAAGAAGGAAAAAGTCTCCCTATTTCCACTTTGCTAACATCAGTATTTTGATTAGTTTTGCATTTTCTTCTCTAGGTGCTTACGTTTCCCCCACACAGGTCTCATCTGATGGTTTCTTCCATTCATTCATTTCTTCAGACAGGTTCTGAGTGCCCATAAGGAGCAAGGCGCGAGACTTCATACTGGGGATAAAGAGAGGAGTAGGGTATCCCCTCTTCTCCATTCCTGTCATCTTTAGACCCAGAAATGTGATGAAATCATCTCACTGAACATGCCTCAGACTCTTTACAGCTCTTGGGCACAGCCCACACTCGTTCATGGCTCTCCTGTCCCCATCATGCCACTGATGCCACATGCACCTACCAGTCCCTTCATTCTCCTTGATTCTCCCGAATGCCCCTCCGCTCCTACTCTCACCAGTCTCTGCCTCACTTTCACAGAGACTGGGCCTTCCAGATGTCCACAGTGTGGGCCACTGGGAGTACCTGAGGGTCCCTGATGAGTTAGGGTTCTCACTTCAGCAAAGATGCACATTTTTTTACATGGGGGAGTGGGTATTCCAGGTCCCACCCAGCATCAGATCTCAGGCCAGCTTGTCTCTCTGTTCATCCCCAGGTATCTTTCATTGCCATTGAACATGCAGTGACTCGTGTAAGGCATGAAATTAACAAAATTGGGCATATTATCAATATTATCACCTTGACTGCTGCTATTTAACAGCTCCCATTGCTGGACTCCCCCTGTCACACACCATGCTCCAGGATTAGCTAGGATTCTTGTTTACCCTTCCGAACCTCCCTGTGAAGTGTGGGCACCCTTGCTAATTCATCCTTGCTGTAGAGGTGAGGAACCTGAGGTACAGAAGTGTGCTTGTGTGTGTTGGGGAGCAGCGAGCTGGAGGAGGAGCCCAGGATTTCGCGTCAATCTCACTAGGCTCATCTGTTGTGTGTTTTAGGATTGCCCAGATTCCACTGGGTAGTGTAACTGATACTTTCTCTCCCGTTTTAGATTCTGAGCCCCTGACTGTACAGCTAGGTCTTACTTATCTCTGGGGCCTAGCTTAGGGTCTGCTACCTGCAGATATTTTCAGTAAAGAATCATAGGACTGAATCGGCTGTAACACTCCACATTTCTTCAGCTGTCATGAGTTACTTGCCTTGTGTCTCGTGGGGAATGGATGTTCCATTCCCTGCTCAGGTCTGATGTCTTCATTTCATCTTTGCTTCCATCTTCTGTCTCATAAGCTTGCTTATTTTTCCAGGCTTTTCTCTTCTGATTATTATTAATTTTTAATATATTTTTATTGATTTCAGAGAGGAAGGGAGAGGGAGAGAAACATTGATCGGCTGCTCCCTGCCCGCCTCCTACTGGGAATCGAGCCCACGCCCACAACCCAGGCATGTGCCCTTTACTGGAATCAAACCCAGGACCCTTCAGTTCGTAGGCTGACGCTCTGTCCACTGAGCCAAACTGGCTAGGGCTCTTTTGATTATAATCATGCCTAAGTCTCCCTCATCTTTTCATCCCTTGGCCTTGACCCTGGATGCACTATCATTACTTTCCCTCCTGCAAGCTTCTCAAACGAGGAGCCTCAGGAGCCCCTACCCCTGAATGGGCTCACAGTTTGGCCTCAGCTACTATACTGAAGATGCTCCCAAAAGCCACAGACTCAACCTCATTGTGAAATCCAGTGTTTTTGTTTTTTTCAAAAATAGTTTCATTTTCTAAAATATCATGAAATATTTTAATCACATGAGAGGTTTGTATAATAAACACCCATATACCCACTGCTGTTATTCGACAAGTATTAACATTTTGCAATTTTGCTTCCAATCCTTCTGTTTATAGGTTACAGATATGGTTAAGACTGCTTTTTGCCCCTGACTCGCACTCGTCTCCTCCCTCCCCTTCAGTAGAAGAACTGCCATCCTGAGCTCAGGGTGACCCTTCCTCCCGGGATTTTAGAATCACTGCTGTGTAAGCGGCCCTGATGAGACAGTGCCTTGTTTGGGGTGCTTTAAAGCCTGACCTAAGTGGCATCAGGCTGCACTCTCTATTCTGCCACTTGCTGGTTGGTATTTCTCCATGTTTAAGGTCTATCCACATTGATCCAAAAGCTCTTGGTCATTCATTTTAACTGTGTTATGGAATTACATTTGTCTTTTTTCCCACAATTTATTTTCTCTTGGCTTGATATGTTTGTACCATTTGTCTCTGTTAGGTACTTTGGGGCTTTGAAGACCCCTTTTTTGGATGCCCACCGGGCATTTCATGGCTCTGCCCTGACAGTGGGTGAAAAGTGACCAGGACGTGGACACTGTTCCTCCTGGGCTGGGATCGTCCTGACTCTTGCCTCTCTGGGCTCTGACACTGGTCTCTGAGAGATCCTAGCCAGCACTCTTCTGGGGCACACTCACCCGAACCCTGGTCTGAGTCCTTCTGCCTGTTCAGTCATTCACCACACAGCCACCCTGCGACATGGCACTGTTACTGTCCACTGTGACGGAGGCCAGAGCAAGGCCCCGAGGGAGTAATTCCTGCACCCAGATGCCCAGCTGGTAATGGCAGAGTGCAGGTTGGGATGCAGTGTTCACACCACTGTCACCTGTTGGGCTCATAGCTGCCCTTCCTCCTTGCCTGCGTCGTCCCCAGTCTCTGCCCTGGCCTCCCCGACCTTCCAGGGTGCTTTCTCGTCTTTTTCTCACAGTGCCAGGATTCCCTCTGTCTCAACTGCTTCTGTGGGCCTAGAGCAGTGATGGCGAACCTATGAACTCATTTTTTTGGTTGATTTTTCTTTGTTAAATGGCATTTAAATATATAAAATAAATATCAAAAATATAAGTCTTTGTTTTACTATGGTTGCAAATATCAAAAAATTTCTGTATGTGACACGGCACCAGAGTTAAGTTAGGGTTTTTCAAAATGCTGACATGCCGAGCTCAAAAGGTTTGCCATCACTGGCCTAGAGAGACCCATCTGCGGTGGCAACCTGACTGCTGTCCCTTACCCATGTCCCTGGGGTGCGTGCGTCCTGACCTCCATCTCCATAGCCCACTGGATGGCTCTCCCCGGAGATCCATTACACCACGTGGAGCTCAAGACTCCAGCACCTGCACCTTCTTCTTTCCCCTCAGTCTTGGTTCCTCCCTTATTTCTATTTTGGTTACTGGTGGCCTACGGTAAAAACTCCAGAGTCACCTTAGATTTTCTGTGATCATCTTCAGTGATGACTCAGCTCTTTTCGCTGTGTCTCTCACACCTATCCTCTCCTTTTTGCCCCTGGCCCCTGGATCCAGAGCTGGGAGCATCCCTGCCTGGGAGCCCCTCGCCTGCTCTCAGCTCTCAGAACCCCTTGAGGTTTCTAAACTGTTATCCTCACTGAAGCTGAGTCTGACCTTATTCCTCTTCTGCCAGCTCTCGGGCTCCCTGTGGCACCGGAATAATCACCAGGCGTCTTAGTGGGATACTGAAACCTTTTCCACTCTGACCTCAGTTGACGCTTCCGCCTCCCGCTCTGCCGCTTCACCCAGGCCATCTCACTGCTGATATCTGGGACGTCTCGCACATCTCCAGAGGTCCTGTCTATACCGTTGAGCACACTGTTCTCACCCCTTTCCTTGCTGTGTATTAGTGCCCTGGGGCAGCCGCAGCCACAGGCTGGATGTTAAAACCACCGGCGTTGGTTCTTTCACGGCTCTGGGGACTGAGTCCAAACCGCACTTGCTTTGGAAGCTCCAGGGGAGGATCCTTCCTGCCTCATCTGGTTTCTGGCGGCGGCTGGCTTCCTTGGCTTGTGGCTGCATCAGTCCCATCTCTGCCTCCATCTCCACGTGGCCTTATTCCCTCTTTTGTCTGTCTTCTCCTCTTGCCTTTCCCTTGTAAGGACCCTTGGGATTGCATTTAGGGTCCTCCCCAATAATCCTGGATGACCTCAAGATCCTGAACTTAATCACATCTGCAAAGACTTTTTCTCCAAATAAGATCCCATACAGAGATTGCAAGGATTTGACATGGATATAACTTTTGGGGGCCACCCTTCACCCTTGGCAGGCTTTGAACTGCCTTTGCCATCTGGCTCCATGTCCACTCACGGCTCCCCCTCACGGTCTGGCGTGTCCTCCCAGCTGCCCTCTCGCCTTCTGAGCCATCACCTGGGATTGTGTCCCACAGGGAGGCAGCTGACAGGCCTGACTCCTCTGCTCTGTGGTCCTCTCTTGTTCTCTGCTCCTGGCACAGACACCAAGTGCTCGACACCTCAGAGTTATTGGGGGCATCACTGTCACTGCCTCTAGTTGGACATGTGGTCCCGTCACCTTGCCCGGTGATACTGCCTTTTCTCTGTTCTCCCCCACCACGATCACTGCAATCACTTCCTCACTGACCTCTCTGCCCTCAGTCTGTCATCGCCTCCAATTTCCTCGTACACACTGCCGGAAAGATATTCCAAAATACTTTTTCATCCTGCCACCTGTTCAGAAAGTTAATGCTGTGGCTTTAGTCTCAGAGGCTGGCTCTCTGTAACCGCTCTCTGTTCCTCATCTGTGACTCCTTATATTTCTGGTCCTATCGCTGTCCTCCTGCCTCAACATAGGCCTGGAGCAGCATATTCTGTGACTGGCTCTATCAATTGGAATTTTCGAGTGCTTTCATTTCCCCAAAAATATCATCTCTCCAGCATCCTAGGTTCCCTCCGAGTTCTCGTGCTTGCTCACCCCAGGCCGACTATGAAGTATAGCCTTCTGCCTTCCTCTTCTCTGCACTGAGTCCTCCTGTTCTGTCCTCCTCTGAGACCTGCCTCCTGTTGCAGCTGACATGGTTCACGCCCGGGCGTGGTGTCCTAGGGTTTTGCAAAGCAGTGGGAAGCTGCACTCCATGTCATCAACCTGCTGCCAGGTCCTGAGGGTACACAGGAGGACAGAGGACAAGTCAGACATGGCCCCCAGCCATGTCTGGGTGGGAAAGACGGACGGCATTGTGTCATAATACAGAAAAATGTGTGTATCGGTGTGCGTGTGCGTGTGCACGTATGTGCATGTGTGTGCATGTGAGTGTGCACATGCACACGCGCGCATCTATATAGTGCAGATCTGGGACATGAGCCATGAGAGGAAAGTGTGAGGTGCTGTTAGGGTACAGATGAGGCCTGACCTGATGGGAAGGACGTTGTCCTGAGAATATCGAATGGCAGGAGCCAGTCGGGCTGAAGGAGTACATGTTCTAAGGTCTCAGGAAGGAAGTATGCCTGAAGGTTCCAGAACCATGGCGGAGGGGAGGCAGGGCCAGCTGGGTGCTCTGCTGAGAAAGCTTGGTCTTCATCCTGAGAGCACTTGGGCTCACTCTGTGATTCCCTTTGCCTTTTTCCTCTTCTAGGTCAGAAAGTCAAGCCAGGAAGTACTCTTGATTCTTCTGGAGCAGGATCTGATTTTCCAGCACGATATTGAAAACAAAGTGTGTCCAATCCTGCTGGCGCTCTCTGCCCCAGACAGTGACGACGACTGCAAAGCAGAAGCCGTGAACGTAAGTCTGCCTGGGGAACGACAGGCCCATGCCTGGTGGCTGTCCGGTGGCTGGGCATGTGTGTGACTTGAAGTGTCCCATGTGTTCACTGTTGGCCAGCCTCGTTCTCACAAACAAGGTGGCTGGTGGTTTGGCCTCGCTCAGAAAGTTCACCGTTCAGATCTGAGTGTGTTTGAAAGTGACTGTGTCACCAGTTGCTTTAAGAAGGCAAAGCATGGGACGTCAATGATTTGGGCAGAGTTGGGGCAGCTGGCTTCACTTTCTGCTGGGCAGGATGCTGAGATTTGTAGGTGAATCCTTAAACCTGCTTGGATCATGGACCTGGTTTCCCAAAGTAAGGAACCCGGTGTGACATGGGAGATGATTTTAGGTGGTATCAGGACAATTAAAACCTAGTAGGTATGTGTGACTATTTTATTGATTAGGCAAGACAAAAGTGGGATTGTCATTAGGTAAGAAAGAGGCACTCTGAAGAAGGCAGTTTGGGGAATGCTGTGTTAAGTGTTTGTGCTGATACCAGTTAAAGGTGTTCAATTAAAGGACTAGAAAGTTAATTTTGTGGTATCCTTGGGTTTGTAGGATTCTGTATGCACTGTGAAGTGATTGTCAATCAGGGGCTTTCTGCTGGCTTCTGGAACCCTTGTTTATACACAGACTATTGAGGAGTCAGTACCAGTGGCCATGGATTGCCTGAGACCAAGACTCCCCAAGGAAGGTCACCCAAAGCCATCATGTTTTCTTAGCTCCTGTCCCCACCGCTGCCCCCTGACCCATGCAGGAGGTGCTGCCCAGCGTGGCCTTTCTATTTGTGTCCTAGAAGCAAACAGCTCCAGCATTTTAGAGAACATCCTACCCAAGGAGGTGAAATCAGAAGCCTCAGCTCCGAGTGCAGTAAGGTATAGAAGGCAGCTGTTTTCTTGGTTGGAAAAGAATGACGTTAGAGAAAGGAATTCTCTTTGTCACAGTGTGGAAGCATTGTACACCATGGAGCCAAAAAATTGTATTAGAGCATCAGAACATCTGGCAGTTATTCTTCATTTATGTAAAAGTTTTCCTCAACTCTGAGTTAGAGGTCTGGCTTTTTAAACTAATTTAATATTTTGCATATCCCATATGTTTATAAGATGAATCAGGCTGAAGAATAATTGATTATTAAAATTCAAATTCTCCAGGGTTTTCTTATAAATTTCAAGTTTCTCTCTAAGAAATTAAATTTGTTGTGCGAAATGAACCTGGATAATATCATTAGTTGGGGTATTTGGCAGTTGAGTAGTGAACTTTGCCAACTCAATCTTCTTTTTTGTTTGAAAGTTGGTTAGGCGAGTTTCCAAGGTTACGACTGACAACCAAATATCTTATCCCTAAAGACTGATAATACCATGAAAAATAATGCTAAAGGCATTTTTGCATGAGTTTTATTTTGTTTTGTTTCCAACCATTCCATTCTTGTCAGCAATATTGTTCTTCTTTTTTTTGTGTGGTGAAAATACTTGGAAAATATAACAAGCCTTCAAAAAGCTATCTCCACAAATCACTTGCAGAACAAATTAGTTCACATAAATTGTATTTTTCATTCCAGCTGAGTTGCTGATATCATTATTTGAATGTCTAAGCATTCAGATGTGGCTGCAGAGAACAAAAGCGGTCTTGAGCCCTTGGCAGGCCAGACACATCTGTGATTTGAGTAATTGCTGGGGGGCGGGGGGGGGGGGCCTGCACTTCACTCCCCATGCCGCTCTGTGAGGTGGCCTGGGTCTGGTCTGGCCCATGCCTGCTTTGGTCACATTCAAAAGCTGTTCTGTCTTCCTTTCCTGGAGCCCCGAGGCACAGGAGTCTTGGAGGGGCTCACTCTTTGGACACCCAGAGTTGTGGAGCACATTTGGGCACTGTTTCTTTTGACTAGAAAAGTGTGTTCAATCTTTGGACTTTTGGGTGGAGAGTAGATTTCATTCTTCAAGGAAAAGAAGACCATGTGTGATTCACAGAGCCCTCAAGGCAGGCAGGGTTTTTAGTTAGCTGCTCGGTGAGTCAAATGCCAAGCACTGTGGGCACTGATGTGTGCTTGTGAAGAGATGACACGTGGGAAGAGAAGCGAAGGGGACTGCTCTGATGCCCTTGTGTTTTAGGGCTCTCTTTGCACCGTGTGGTGTGAGTGATGCTGTGCCCATGTGCATAAACACACTCTCAGTTCAGTGCCGTTTGACAGGAAGTGCTGCTCGCTCCCAGGAAACGTCAGGCCTCCATAGGCAGGTGTGTGCTTCTGTCCATTAGACTTTCATTCTCATTGGAAGTTGCACTCTGGATTCTAATGCCAGCAACCCCAGTGCATACGTGATTAGGAAAATAAGAGCAGCCAAATAGATGCCTCCTGGGCATTCTTGAGTTGTGCAGAACAAATGACATGTTTCCTACCTCCTGGCTTCTCACACATGCATGCATTTTGTCTTGTGAAGTCTTTTTAGCTTTGCCAGGACATGGTAGTGATGCCCCCCTTCATGTGTTTGGAAGGCTTGCTTCATATCTGTCTTCTCCCACCCAGCAGCTGAATTGTGAACTTCCTTTGTTTGTTTATTTCCCCTTCCAAATGGTGAACTTCTTAAACACAGGTGTCTTTCCACCATCAGCACCCAGCACAGTGCTAGGCCCAGAGTCAGTACTAAGTAAATTTTAAAAAAGTGATTTCAGAGAAGAAGGGAGAGGGGGGAAATAGGAACATCAATGATGAGAGAGAAACATTGATTGGCTGCCTCCTGCACGACCCACACTGAGGATCGAGCCTGCAACCGGGGCATGTGCCCTGACCGGATATCAAACCTTGATTCATAGGGCGACACTCAACCACTGAGCCACACCAGCCAGGCAGTAAATGTTTTTAAATGAATGGATCGGTATAAACTGGAAGCACTGTATCCTGTAATTACATCTAGACAGCACAAACAGGCCACCAGAGACCAATTATAATTCCTCGTGCTTGCAAGAAGGCCATTAGCATTCTGAGATTATAACTAATTGTCAGAAGCCTATTTTTCTCTCCCAACACGTTTTCACATTAAAGCTTCCTCATTTTTTGTCGTCATTCCTATTTTTAAGCTCATTTTTATTTGCGCATTTACTTAAAAAGAATGTTGTGGTTATGTGCTGTAAAGAATAGTTGGCTCCAAGCAACTAAGTAAAGATTGTCATTCCATACAAGTGGTTCCCAAGGCCACAGGACTATCATTTCTGGTCACTCAGTGTGCTGACTTTTAATGATTCAGGATCGGTTTTGTGCAGGTAGTAAAGGTCATGTGGGCGGGGTAGATGGGCACGCTGGAGAGACATACTGGGCCCCCTTGAGTTGCCCGTTACCCTGGATACAGAAGCCTGGTGTTCGGCAGCTCTGCTTTGCGTCAGATGAGAGACACGTGTCCTCTGATTCGGGAAGACACAGTCTTTTCCTCATTTGTGTTGTGGGGACAGTTTCTCCTTCTCCACCTTCCTCTCTTGTCTGCTGGGTACAGATTCCAAAGCCAGTGGGCTGCCAAGTGTGGCCTTCAGAGACAAAGTCCTCCGCCCCCTGCCTGCTGCCTCCCATCTTCCCTTCATTCCTTCCTTCTTCCTTCTTTTTCTTGGGGGAGTGGAAGATTTCTTAAAAGTTTTTTGGGGGAAGGTAGTTTTTAATTCTGTTTTAATTTCAAACTGGCAGAAAAGTTGCAGGAATGAACTCCTGTATACCGGTTATCCACCTTCTCCATGGGTTATGCGCAGCGCCATTTGTTTTATCGTGTTCTCTCTCTCTTTACACACATGTACCCACAATACACACACGTAGATGAATACATACACAGGTGTATGTATTTTTTTCAGCCATTTGAGAGTAAATTGGAGACATTGTGCCCCTTTCCCCCTCAATACTTCAGTGCATACTCCTAAAAATAAGAACATTCTCTCTTTTACAACCATAGTGCATTGATCACAATCAGGACAGTTCATGTTCAGATGTCATTTGTCCAGGATCCAGTCCAGGGTCCCACAGTGCAAGCGTTTCTTTGGTCTCCTTTAATCTGGAACAGATCCTGTGTCTGTCTTTGAATTTCGTAACATTAACCTGTTGGAAGAGTACAGGCCAATTCTCTGGTAGAATGTCTCCCAATTTGAGTTTGTCTGATGTTTCTTCATGAGTAGATCCAGGGTCTGCATTTCTGGCTGGATATTATGGGAGCGATGTGTACTCATGTGTAACATCAGGAGGCCCAAGACTTTTTGTCCCCATTTTGATGATATTAACTCTGGTGACTTAGTAGATAGAGGTGGTGTCTGCCAAGTTTCTCCCATGTACTACTTTCCACTCTAGAAATAATGAGCGTTACTTTGAAGCTATGTAAGTATGCTTTTCATCAACTCCCACCCCCTAGTACTAGCACCCAATGACAGTTCTAGTTGACATTCTACTGTGAAGCGTGTTCCCTTCTCCATTATTGCTAACATTTTGTTGAAGATTTTCACATCTATATTCAAGAGGACTATTGTAGGCAATTTTCTTTTCCTATTATGTTTTTGTCAGGTTTAGAGTTAGGGTTATCGTGGCCTCAAAAATTGAGTTGGGAAGTATTTCTGTTCTCCTATTTCCTGAAAGATATTGTTTAAGATTGGTGTTATTTTTCCCTTAAATATTTGTTAGAATTCATGGGTAAAACCTTTATGAGATGGTTTTGATAATAGACTCAGTTCTTTATGTGGGGCTATTGAGATTTGTCATTACATCCGTGTCATTGGGTAAGTTGTATATCTTAGGGAATTTAATTTTATCTAAGTTGTTAAATGTATTGGGATAAAGTTGTTTACAATATTTCCTTATCTCTCTAATGCCTGTAAGATCTGTAGTGTTATTCCTTTCATTTATGATATTGATAATTTGTGTTTTCTCTCTTAATTTTTTTTTCTTGATCATCTTGCTAGGGATTTATCAATTTTATTAATACTCTCAAAGAACCAGTTTGTGGCTTTGTCAATTTCTTTATTGCTTATTTTCTTTTTAATTGATTTCTACTGCTTGTTATTTCCTTTCTTCTAATTACTTGAGTTCAGTTTGTCAGCATTTTTCTAGCTTCGTAAGGAGGATACAGTAATTTTAAGCCTACCTATTCCATTTAAAGCTACACATTTAATGTTTATATTTTTGTGGTATATTGACCCTTTAATTAAGACATGACTTTTTAAAAATCTCTGATAATAATCAGTATCTTGTAGTCTACTGTGATATTACTATCACCTCTCCATCATTCTTATGCTTACTATTTGTCATTGTATGTTTATGTTCTTTTTTTGCTCCCAACCTGAAATGTTTTAAATTTAAAGTGTTCCTGCTTTCATTAGCATATAGTTGAGGCTTGCTTTTATATCTAGTCTGACAGTTTTTGTCTTTTAATTGGAGTGTTTAGTCCATTTATGTTTAATGTAATTATTGATTATATTTGGATTTAATTCTGCCATTTTGTTATTTTTTTTCCATTTATTTCATCCATTTTTGTCCCTCTTTTAATTCTTTCCTGCCTTCTTTTGGAGTAGAGTATCTTTTTAGTACTGTGTTTTAATTTCTCTATTGGAGATTTTAAAAAAATATAGTACATTGTAATAATGTAGTTCCAGCCATTTTCTTTCCTCCTCTGCTTTTTTTTCCATGTATACTATAACATATATATTACATTATGAACCTGATATCATGGTATCATAATTTCTGATTTAAACAATTATATCTTTTGAAGAAATTACAAAAAGAGAAAAAATGTATAGCCTTTTATCCTCACATTTTAATCATTTTTTGTGCTTTTTCTTCCTTTTCTGGATCTGAGTTTCCATCTGGTGTCATTTCCCTTAGGCCTAAAGAACTTCCTTGAGTACTTTTTTAAGTTTGTTTGGCTGATGATAATAAATCTTGTTTTTACCAGAAAATGTCTTAATTTTGCCTTCATTTTTGAATGATAGTTGTACTGGATATAGAATTCTGGGCTGACAGGTTGTTTTTGTTTTTTCTTGCAGAACTTTACAGACCTCCTGTTGTTTTCTAGAGAAGTCAGCTCTCATCCACACTGTTCTCCTACATTTAAAGTGTCCTTTTTCTCTGGTTGCTCTTGAGATTTTTCTCTCTTTTTTTGCAAAGTGAATGCTTATCCTGCTTTGTGTGCGTTGATGCCTTCATCTAATTTGGGACGTTTTTGATTCAAGTACATTTTTTCTGTGCCTTTTTTCTATTTGTCCTTTCAGTCTGGGGCTTAGATTACACCAAGTTGGAGTGCTTAATATCATTCTATAGGTCTTTGTGGGTCTCTTTTTTCCCCCTATCATTTTTCTCTCTGATGTTCAGATTTCATCATTTTTATCAACCTATCTTTAAATTCAGTGACTCTTTTTGTCATGTGCAGTCTGCTGGTAGGTCCATCTATTACATTTTTTATTTCAGTTTGTTGTGCTTTCCAGCTCTAGAATTTCCATTTTGACCTTTTTTATAGTTTCTAATTCTCTGTGATATAGAGATTCCCTGTATTTTCTTTCTTGTGCCTGTGTGTTCCTTTTACGTGTTGAGCATATTTATAACAGCTCCTTTTAAATCCTTACCTGGTGATTGAGACACTTGGATCATCTTAGTGTTGATAATGTAAAGTTCCCGTTAACTGCTTTAAAAAAATTATGAATCACTTTTTACTATCAATACATAGGAAGTTATTTTTAATTGAACACTAAACAGTATAAATGACACACTGCAGGGGCTCTGGATTCCGTTTTATTTCTCCGAGGTGGTTTTTTATGTAGTAAACAGTTATCTTGTCTGATCTCCAGCTCCCAGCTGTCTCCTCTGAGCAGCACTAAACTATCTGCTCAGTTTGTTTAGTTTCTTGCTGCTGCTTTTTTGCCGGTTCTTCTGGGAACTACATGTGTAGTTTAGTAGTCAGCCACAGAACTTACTTGTAGATCTTTCCCATTGCAGTTCACCTTTAAATGGTAGCCTCCCCTCCATTTTCTGCCTTTTGGTTGCTTTCCAGTGGGTTGTTTTTTTTTTTATGTTTCTTTCTTTCTTTATGATTCTGTAATTGTTATCTGCAAGAATTTTATGTCTGACCAACCTACTGTGTTATTACCAGAAGTCTTGATTTTTTTTCTAGTTTTTATTTCTTTGATTAATTTTCCTATCTTTTCATTCATTATGGCCTTGTTTTCATTTTAGTCCTTGTGTGTTTTTACAATAGCTGTTTTCAAGTCCTTTTCATGTCAGCTAGTTCTAACATCTGGTCTTCGTTGGGTTTGTTTCTACTAACTGATATTTATCATGAATATGGGTCACATTTCCCCATTGTTTCTCATGTCTGTGAATCTTTTATTGCCTATAGTATGTTCTTGATGAAACATTGTAGAAATCTGGATTCTGTTATTTTTCTCTGAAGAGTGTTAACTTTATTCTAGCAAACAGTTTAGATTCTGTTTCCCCTGCAGCATTCAGCAGCTGAAACTACTTAGTTCCTTTTGCCTTCAGGCTACTGCTTTTCTTTGTGAATCTGACCATCTCCTGCACAGAATAGAGTAGGATTTAATCACAGATTTGGGGGGCTTTCCCTTTCTTAGTTCTCTCATTCCTTCTTCCCAAGATTTCTAACCTCATGTGTCAACTGCTTTGGCAACCTTGGTCTCTGTTCTCTGACTTCTTAAACCAGTTATACTGTAGCTTTTGCTTGAGGTCCAGCTACTCTGCATAGCTATGCAGAATGAGGATGCCCAGGCAAAAAAAGCAACAGCAATGCACATCTTACCCAGGATGGTTCCCTTCTCTCAGGGGTCTGCTCTCCTTTAGTTTCCACCAACATTTGATCACTCTCCAGTGCCTGCAGGTCACTTTTTGTACTGTGTCCAGCTACTGTTATATGTCCCTCCTCACCACTATTTGGTTTTGGTCACATTACTTAACCTCTTTGAGTGTTAATTTCCTCATTTGGAAAAATGAGGCTAAATAATACCTTGTCATAGGGTTTGGGGAAGGTAAAACGAGTTATTGCACATAAATTGTTCACTTTTGTGTTGGGAACACAGTGGGTCCCTCTGATGGTAACCCTTGAGCTTTAGACAAACGCTTATCTGAGTAAAACTTGAGAGATATTTAGCCTTTTATTAATCATAGAACTTGACGGAACTCAAAAGAAGGTGTTTTCTGTTTTAACTTCTTGGTTATTTTGGTAATATTTTGAATACTAGCTTTTGGAATCTAAGTCGTGATGTGCAACACATAAGCTTTGGTATTTCAAGTGACTGATTTTCTTATTTTTTATAGATCATCTGCAAACTGGCTTCAGTGCTGCGCACGAGCACAGTGGAGCGCCTGCTGCTCCCTCGATTCTGTGAATTATGTGGGGATGGGAAGCTCTTTCAAGTTCGAAAGGTGAGCACATATTAGTTTCAAAACTTGAAAAATTCAAAACGTTAAAAAATTCAAAATCCATGCTTGTAAAGTTTCTGGACTTCCTCAGTAGACATGGTCTGGAAGGAAAACATGGCCAGTGTGAACTGTGTGAGGAAAACATCTGAACAGCGTTGCCAGTTTTTACTGCAATTAGGGAATGCAGAGCGCCCGGGGGATGAGATTGTGTCTGAGTACGCCTGTTGTTTGCCTGTTGTTCTCAGGAGCAGGGAAGTGCGAGGGGACCTTGCTGACAGTGACCCAATGCCTTTCCCTCGGCGAGCAGAGCCTTTCATTTTCTTGGGTGACTTGCCCTACCTTCCAACTCCTATCCTACCCTGCCCTCTTCCCTTTTCATCGCTTGTCACTTGATTGTTAAATTCTTCCTTTTGAAGGCCATTGCTCCCCTCCCTGAACAGCCTCATCTTCCCTCTGGTCTCTCCTCATGACTCATCAACAAGAAGATCCGTCTCATTTGGCCTTATTTACCATGCGGAGAATATGAAGGGTCTCTTTTGCTCTCTCCTAACCAAATGCATTATGTATTGAGATCAATTAGGAGCCAGAAAGTGCTAGAATTTGGTACTCTGTTGTAAATCTTCAGTTTCCAATGCATCGTAGGCACCTGGGCGGTGCTATGTGGGCGATGGGCTTAGTGAGTGCTTGTTAGCTGCCTCACTAGAGGAGTAATTGCTCTCAAGGTCCCTGCTTGTTAGTCTGCACAATTTGTTAAAACAAAAAAAGATGAGAATAATGGGTATGCCTTTTGCCTTTTTAAGGTATGTGCTACAAATTTTGGTGATATTTGTCACGCCGTTGGACAAGAAGCAACTGAGAAATTTTTGGTACGTGAAGTTTTGCCAATTGTAATTGCTGATGCACTTGTTAAGGCGCTTTTAAAATCCATCATAGTTTTGTGTCTATGAGTCTTTTTCTTTGGAATGGCAGCTTAATTTTGCATTCATCAATTTCAAATTTCTTGACTTCTGAAGCTGTTTTTCATAAGCACGAGGCAGCTGGTCTGTGGAACAGAGTGGAAGCACCCCTTCCTCCTTCCTGTGGGCCTCTTCTGTTCCTCCTCCCTGCTCTTTCTCGAATGTTGCTCTACCACCTCACTCCTCGGCTTCAAAACCCATGGGATTGTTTCTTGGTTTCCATGGTAACATCCAGACCCTTCTTGGCCTTTCAGGTTCCTTTACAAGTAGCTTTCCTGCCTTACCTCCAGTCACCTTCCTCAGGCCTGAACACTGCCCTGGCCTGGGTGCTGCTTCCCCTGGGCCATACATCTGAGTCATGGGGAGGGCAGGAGCAGGGAGGACCCAAGGGTTCATATTTTTTATAAATTCCCTCACGATTCTGAGACACAGTGGGGTAAAGCGCCACTTCATGAGCCAGCCAGTGACTCTTCTGCTTGTTACTGCCCCTCTTCCAGCATCGTTCCTACCTGGTGGGACCCTGCTCCCAGGGCAGAGGGCAGACCCAGCTTGAATATGCATATGTCTCAGTCAGGTCCTTTCTGGCCTAGACTCACCTGCCCGCCCCCTGATTGGCTGCCCCCCATTGATTGGCTGCCTCCTGCACTCCCCCTACTGGGAATCAGAGGCCAATATGTCACTGTGTCAGAGAGTTCATTCCTCCCTTTTCAGCACCCCCAGGACAATGAGTTCCGAGGACTTTGTGTCCCTCTCCACACCCATTCTGGTCTGGCTGGTTCGGGATCTTCACCCTATCACGTTCGCCCTTCTTGCTTCCAGGTGCCTGCCTAGGCCCCGGCCCCTGGAGAATGCTGCGCAGCACATGCTTGCCTCTGTATTTGACAGGATATACTAACTAAGAGTTGAAACTTAACCTCAGAAAGTATAATCTTTAAATTGATTTGTAAATTTAAGTTCAGAAGCTCATTTTATTTTATGTAAAGTATAAGCCATGTCTCCCTGGCCAGTGTGGCTCAGTTGGTTGAGTGTCATCCTATACATTCAATTCCCCTGGGAGATCAGGACACATGCCCAGGTTGTGGGTTTGGTCCCTCGTTGGAGTGTGTATGGAAAGCAACGGATCAGTATTTCTCTCTCACATCAATGTTTCTCTCCCTCTCCCTTCCTCTCTCTCTAAAATAAATAAAAACACATTTAAAAAAGTATAAGCCATGCCAACATAGTTCTGACCCCAAAATAATTCTTAGTGGGCTGTCGCTTTGAGTCCATAGGGAGGGTTGCCCTGCGCTTGGTGTGTCTGACTGAAGCAGCGCACTCATCTTCCAGAGGCGGGTATTTCCGGGCTCGCTTATGCCCGCTGTGGAGCTTTTTGCGGATTGTTTTATGTTGAGATATTAAAAACAAATCGTATTTTTAGACAAGATCGGCACATTCAGGATGGTATGACTATAGACCAAAGCCTTATTTTTAAAGGCAAAATTTTAAAAGAGGATATAATCATGACCTTCATACAGAAATAAAATGAAGATGTGTCAGTGGTTTTATTAAACTCGTGTTGATGAGGGAACCAGTAAGATACGACAAGTGGTTTCATGGAGAAGTTAAAGTGCCACACATGGCCAGACCCTGGAACCCTGAAGTGACCTTACAAACTGGTCCTTTCCAGGGAGGTAAGGTTTGCATGTCTCTGGACAGTTTGTAACAATTTACCTTCTATCACTAAATACCTCAGTCAGCAGAGACCATGTGCCTGGATGGGTGAGCTTGTTGGGATAGCCACTGAATTTCAAAGTCGTTCCTAGTATTTCTCTATAATCACATATCGAAGGTCACTTGTTCTGCCTCTGGGGTTTTTTCCTCCATTACCTTGTTAAATTTAACAAGTCCTTTACTGGAATTAAGAGGTAAAGGAAATGTTGCTTTATTCTGCTTGTCATAATTTCTATTGGTTTCAAATGATTCCTTTTAGATTAGTATATATTTCATTTTTCTTTGTCATTAATTTATGGATATGCCTTAGCTGCATCAATAAAACAGGCTCTCTGGGTAACCAGATTTGTGTAGCATGATTTTATTTGCTTTGGTAGATCCCAAAGTTCTTTGAGCTCTGCTCAGATAATGTGTGGGGGATGCGAAAGGCCTGTGCGGAGTGCTTCATGGCGGTATCCTACAACACATCCCCCGCGGTGCGCAGAGCCCAGCTGTCCCCGCTCTTCATCCGCCTGGTCAGCGACCCCTGTCGATGGGTAAGCATGGGCCTTGTCTTGGCATCTGGACTTGTGACTTTTCAGTCATTGATGGTCACATTTAGACCTTGTGAGGCTTAGGGCACCTGAAATCTCAAAAGTTTTGGCGATGTTAAAGTCCTCCCACTGTCACATTATATTGAACAAATCTCATAGAAATGAGAACTGAGAAGGGAAAGAGCAGAACTGTGAATTGTTACTTCTGTTCTGAGCTTAACTATGCTGCAATGATTCAGAAGGTCTGCTCAGATGCTTTATAAAGTCCAGAATTATTTGATGTGGGATTAATTGCCTGGAAGGTTAAAAACTACATGATAGTGCCAAATTTTTCCTTATTTTCTGTTGCAAATTGTTTGTTTGGGATTTAAGGAAAGCAGTAACTCCGCTCAGGCATACTTTGGCAGACAGTGAGCGGCCTGGTGATCTGCCCCCGCTCAGCCTGAGGTCAGACCTCGCAAGTGCCACATTCATGCGCTGTTCTTTCTGGTTTCAGGTACGCCAGGCTGCCTTTCAGTCCCTGGGCCCCTTCATTTCCACCTTTGCAAACCCCTCCAGGGCTGGCCTCTATATTCGAGAGGATGGCACCCTGAGCATCAGGTCATCAGCTCAGAGTGCAGGGTCCAGCTTCATGCGCAGGTCAGCTGGTGCCCGCAACTGTGTTGACGCCACCTCAGCCTGGTAAGCTCCAACCCAATACTTACTAGGATCCCGCTTCACCTTAAGCGTCCACCTAAAATTCTAGCAATTATCTCCTCTGGAGTTTCAGTAACGGTGACCTTCTGGGCAAGATGGAATATTAGAGCTTTAATTATGTAAAGAAGGAAAAAGTAATTGCAATAATGGTTTTGAAACATGACTACTGGGTTATAAATAATGAAGCTACTGTGTCTCCTAAATTTAGATAAAATATTCATTGAGAGCAGTGATTAAATAACCTATAAAGAAAATTTTCTCTTACTTTTTGATTAATGAAGTTCTTTGGATAATGTACATGGGAAAAATGTACTTTTGTGCCATAGAATATTACATGCCCATAACAGTGAGATTCCTGACCCACTATCCGTAGACTCTATACTGTTTTTCTAGTAAATGCTAGTGATTGATCTTGGATTTGTTAAATGTCTTTTCTCCAAGGATGGTGGGTGCATACTAACAAATCATTGGAGGTAATAACAGGAGTCTCTCCATTGGTAACATTACACGGAGTGTGAGAGTAGGTAGTTCACATCCCAGTACCCATTCTTTGTGAGATGGGTCACTCTCCTCCACCAAGACTCAAGGAGCCCCTGCTGTAAGGCCTGGGGCAGGGCTTCCTCATCTAGACTTTCCAGTGGTTAACCACCAGCCAGCACTTGCCCACTTCAGCCCGGTTCATTTTCTCATGCCTGCCCCCTGGTGGAGGTCCTAAGAAGCAGTGAGCGCAGGTCTTGCTTCTGAAGGTGTGCCAGCAGAAGCTGGGCTCTTCCCCACCGGCCTATACGTGTAGTGGAGGGATCGGCTGCGGTTGCATGTGGCATTTTCAGTGAACATCATTCTTGCAGTGGGGCAGAGGGGACTGCTTGGACATCTCATCCTCTTGTGACACTGTTATCTTCTGGGAGACACAGCAGGTTGGGTGGCCAGGTCAGGAGGAGGACCGGGCTTGTGAGCATGTGGATCCTGTGTTTGCCTACTTCACTTTCAATCTTGGTGCTAAAAGTTTGCCTTCCTCAATTTAACCCAGTTCAACACAGCCAGGGCAGATAGAGCCACATCCACCCATGGGAGGCCCATCAGGGGGCACCAGTGGTTTCCTGCACGTCAAGAGCTCCTGTGATGGCCCGATGGAAAACCCAATGGAGGACTCCGGCCTGACTGGAGCTGAGGTGACCAGTGCCTTCTCGAAGCTCCCTGATATTAACAACCTCCCCATCAGCAGTCACCCTGCACCTGATTCCTGGGCCTGCCCAGGGAGTCCCGAGGATGCATTCGGTAATTTCCTTTATTGGCGAACTCCTCTCCCTGACATAAGCCAGGACTTGGAGTTGCTTCTGAGTGCGGCTGGGCCGCAGGAAGAAGGCCGCTGCAGATCTGAGCCTGTGTGTGGCAGCTATGTGGCCAGGAGTGACATTCAGAAAGTCCTCGACAGTTTGCAGGAGCACATGATGAACGATCCAGATGTTCAAGGTCAGTGTTGTCCACAGTGAAAGGGGAGACGGCTGGCGTATTTCTGGGGTGTGCGTCACATGGGCCTGTGTCTTGTTGCATTGTGCATGTACTTATCTTTGGTGACATTGTACACACATCTCACTACAGCCAGAACCTCAGCATCTCCTGCAGGTAGCCGCAGGGGTCCTGCCTCCCTGCAAGCAGCGTGCAGGTCTGACGTCAGTTTTAACAGGGGCGAGAGCTCTTGGGCATATCTGTAGCAGTGGGGATTTTATTAGCTCCTCGGCCACTTTTACATCCTTTGCTGTGTTATAATGCCTTCTAGTTATGAACAGCTATGGCTGCTGCTCCTCTTGGGGCGTTGACTCAGTCCTTAGCTAAACTTTGAGGTCTGTCTCAGCAAGGAAAAGGACAGCTTCTTCTTTGGGGTATTTTTCATTTTATGACTAGTACTCCCACTGAGCGTCGGATCAGGGAGCCAGGCCCTGCAATCCATATCCATTATCACGCCTCTTCTTTCTTGAAACATTGCTATATTTGTATTCTTCCCTGAGTTGGGGAAATTGGAAAAAAAACAACACTTGCTGCTGTTGCCGGGCAAAGATTTGTGACGCTTTCGGGAAAGGAAATGTGAAAATCCAGTTAGCCCTATGATTATTCTTTGTCTTTAAATTGATAAAGGAAATTAAGTCAGTGTATGCTAAAGGAATGAGCACATGTTACATATCACTTCTAATAGCCGTAGACAGAAGTCTGCGTTTGGAAAACGTATTTCTAAAACTCCATTAAACTCCGTGCTGGGACCTGGCTGGGTGCTGGGGCAGCAGTGAGGACACTTGAGGCCCTCATGGTCAGGTGGAAGGGACTGTAAACAACCTCCTTCCATGGGTGCGGCAGGGGCTGGGCCAGGAGTTTAGGGCAGGAAGCTGGTTATTCTTGGGGACAGAGGAAATGTCTGGGAGGAGACCTTGCAGAGCAGTTGACATTTAACAAGGGCTTTAAAGGGCGGCTAGGAATCCACCATACAGAGAAGTTGAATGATGAGTCTCTAGGTTCCTTCAGGTCCCTGGAATTATTTTGTAAAATTTTACATGCACATGCATACTTAATTTCTTTATAAAAAGGACCCACAAGCTGCTTTAGTGTGCAGAGGGATCTGTGGCCCCCAAAAATTCAGAAATAAGCGGCACCTTGGGTATTTGTAATTGGAGATGTGGCTCGGGCCATGGGGAGGGCCTGGTGGGTGGCACTAAGGAGGTGGGTCCTTGTTCTGGGCACAGCAGGGAGCTAGCTACATGCTCTAAGCATTTTAATGAATCTTGGGGTCTGTTGAATTTAACCGGTAGAAAACAGAATGCAGGAAGTCTTGTGTGTGCTTGTTTTGTGACATGGAAACAATTGTGTTTACAGAAAGGTATGTGGATATGTCATCTTGACTGTTATGGGATCTCAAACAGTCATGCTGTGGACAGAAAGCATGAGCCGAGCAGGGTGAGCAGGACCTTGACTCGAGTGTGTGCACATAGCCGGATTGATCCTGCACGTGTGTGCGCTTGTGTGTACCTGTGTATGTGTGGTGGGGACGGCAACCACCCTGCTTTATAAATGAGGGTGCAGAACCCCCCTCCCTGAGTCAGTGGGCCTCTCAGACATCGGCATTCAGTAACATTGTATTGTCTTCCTGTGAAAGATGATGGAGTCGAGCTCTGATTTCCCAATTGAGGCACTTCAGGTTCAGATTTGATGCTGTGTGTGTGGCTGACGTTTAGTTGGAGTCGTTAAGGTTAATGGTGGTAAACATCACAGCCTGACTGAATGCTCATTCTGGGACCCCAGAGCATGGTTATTGTAGGGACAGATGTGGGGAAAGTGAGTGCATGTGTGGTGTGCCTACATCCACAAATCAGATAAAGTTACTGAAATTCTCGAAACTTCTCTCCCTGCAGCTCAAGTTCAGGTGCTATCAGCTGCACTGAGGGCCACACAGCTGGACTCTGTGAGTGAGCCCGAGCACCCGCTGGCAGACAGTCTGAGTGCAGTGTCCCTTTCAGATCCCAGGCAGGCCTCTGACAGCTGGCTGGCTCCGTCGGCCTCATCCCTGCAGAGTGAGCCCTCTGTGGCCAGGATATTACCAAGCACAGTAAGTCTCTGGCCTCTCCCTCAGCCACTGAGGATGTGACAGAAATCTCAAAGCTGCTGTCTCTCTTATTAGTAGGTCCTGGTGGAGATGATAAATGGCAGGTTTAATTTTATTCTTAAGGTCATCTTTTGGATAACTAGACAACCAATCAATCAGGTGATTGATAACCCTGACTCTCCTCCACAGAGACAAGGTGGGGGACCAAAAGGACCTTCCCTCTTCTCCAAAGATGATGAGACCTGCTTCTTGGGGGAGGGGTTAACCAGATCATGGCTCTGTTTCACTGCCCACCAGCGGTTAGATGTTTGAATAGGAGTGGAAAGTGAATTCCTACAGCCTCTCTAGGTTGAAGTTGACAGAGGCCTTAGAAGTTGATCACAGCCTTCAACCCTCACCTTAGAGACACTCTCTCAACACACAGTCACTCCTACAGTGGCACCAGCATGCTGTGTCTGCTGGAGAGGTTTGGGTGAGCCCACAGACCCCACCTCTCTTCCCTGTAGTCTGGAACCAGCCCTGCGAGACAACTCCCATCCTGGGAGAGTGCCTTGTTTCTTAGTTCCATCTCTCCAGAAGCTTCCTAGCTGCTTTTGGTGGGAGGCTCCAGTACCTCCCTAATTCCCACTAAACTTACACTTGGACCACCTAGAGCTGGGGTCCTTCACAGGTCAGGTAAGACTAAAGAACTAAAATTAGGGAGGGGCCCATGATCAGTGTCATGGGCACGTTGGCACCTTCTCATTTTCATGTGCCTTAATGGAGGCCGGAGGCCAGAATACCAGTTGTTTCTCGTTTCACATAGTTTGTAACTTGATTTTAGCGATTCTACTAATGTATCACCTCCCTTACCCTCTAGGCCTGCCCCAGTAAAAGCAAGACAAAAGACAAATTTAAATAGCTTAAATATAAAATGTTTAAGAGTTTTGTTAAGGTTACCCCTGATTAGTAAGAAATAAGGTGATATCCTATTTTGCTGGTTTGTTTAGAAAAACAGGCAAGAAAACTCATGTTACCCTTATTGAAATCAGACGTGTTAGGTAGATAGGAACGTTGGTCATGCTTGCCTTGGTGGGACTGTGACATTCTTCAGGTTTCCCTGTCATATATGGAAGTGGACGAAAGAAAAAAGAACCAGTTCCTCACCCTGGCAGGTGTTGCTCAGTTGTCAGAGTGTTGGCCCCACACTGAAGGGCCTTGGGTTCAATTTCTGGTCAAGGGTATGTACCTGGGTTGTGGGTTCACTTCCTGCCTGGGTCAGGGCATGTGGGAAGCAACCAGTTGATGTGTCTCTTTCACATCAATGTTTCTTTTTCTCCCTCCCCGCTTCCTCCCTCCTGTCCTCCCTTCTACTCTCTGAAAAAGCAATGGAAAAAATATCCTTAGGTGAGGATTAACAACAAAAAAAAGGAATTTGTTCCTCCATGTTGGCCCTTTTGTGAGGAGGGTTTTAAAGGGCCCCTGTCTTTGGTCCTTGGTTTGTAATATGGAACATCAGGAGTCTTGAATTTGCAGCTTGACTCTTAGGTTCCAGTGGGATCCGTCAGGATGTTTCCAGTTGTAAAATAAGGAAAAGGAAGTGAAAAACGCAAAAAGCTTAACCAGTGAGGGCTGTGTTCTTTCGAACAGTGAACTGGAGAGGAGCTGAGGCTGGGGGCTGGCCCCTCAGCTCCAGAACTTGACCCTATTCCACGTGTCCACTCTGCCACCTTGGCTCGCCAACTTAGTCCCCCAGTGCCCAGTGGGAGGAGGGGCCTCCTTTTTCTGACCTGTCACTTGACTGTGAGGCGGTTTTCTGGGGAAATGACCTCTCGGCACCTCTGGGGGCTGCCTGGACTTGTGGTGGTTACGGAAACCTAAGCTTGGCTCCTGAAATAAGTACCGTACTTACAATTCCAAATGAAGACTTTGGAATAAAATTAATTCCTGAAAGAAGAAAAATGATTTATTATTTATTAATCTATGTGAATTTATTAAGTTGGAGAAATTGAGGTCTTAGGTTATCATACCAAAGCGTTTCTGTTTTATCACGCCCTTTATTAAATAAGCAGTACATTTCAGTGGAGACCTTGGGGATTGAAGGTTCTGGTAGCGTGTCTCAGCCAACAAAGCGTCTATCTGTATATTAATCGACTCTCCTGGATCATATATTGAGCTGATTTGTCAAAACCTATTAAGCTGGCAGGCAGGGTGACATTTCCATGCAAGAAGGGAACCCATGTTATGGTTGGAGCAGAAGGTCAGGCCCATCTCAGGTAACGTTAGTCAATGATCAGAGACCAATATGTCACCATTGAATGTTCTCGCACATCTTAATTGTTAACCTAATGTAAGGGTTCACCAGCAAACATGAAGAGTGTTTGTACATGTGAAAATCCAGAAGAGCTCTCCAAGTACACGCTCCTCATCAGTCACATTTTCACTCAGATTAAATGAGGCTACCCAGTGCCTCTCCATCCTCTCAGGCCCAGCACCGATGCACTCTCCAGTTCCTGGGCAGTGCTGGATGTGTGTGCTTCACCATTTCCTGAAAACCTCACCCTGCTTTCAGGAGTGGTCCATGACTTAAATGTGCAATTGTTCCTTAAGGGCTGTGGGTAACCACACTGGAGGTCCTGGGGCTTGAAGAATGATAAACACCGCCTCCAGTTGGTGCATGCCAGCGTTAGCCTGTCTTCTGTAAGGGCCTCAAGCAGTTTTGTTTTTTAAAAATATATTTTTATTGATTTCAGAGTAGAAGGGAGAGGGAAAAGAGATAGAAACATCAGTGATGAGAGAGAATCATTGATTGGCTGCCTCCTGCCCTCCCCCTACTGGAGATGGAGTCCACAACCCAGGCATGTGCCCTGACTGGGAATCGAACTGTGACCTCCTGGTTCATAGGTCAACACTCAACTACCAAGCCACACTGGCCTACCCAACATCATATAGAACTATGCAAATGTATTTTTTTTAACACCTGAGAGAGAGCTTGACCTAAAGGGAAGCTCTCGTCTTGGTTTGCATAAGTCATTCCTGCCATTGAAAGAGGGTTCCTTGAAGCGGGCAGTAGGGCAGCTTCCTCCGCAGAGCCAGTTGGTAACATGCCCCGTCCCTTTTGCAGAATCCAGGCGAGCCCTGCCATGGAACCCGTGACCATCTGGGGACCCAGCAGAGGCATGACCCCGTCCCACTTGAGGAGAATAAATCTAAACTACAGGTTTGTTCCTTGAAAAGAAAGCAGCTTAAAACTTTACATTTCTCTGGGAGTTAAATTTAAGAATGAACACTGGAAGCAAATATTTTTTTTCCATTAATATTCATGACATATCTTAGTTTACAATCTGTGGTGCTAATATTTCCTCTCATGTAAAAAAAAAACAGTAAACTCCAAAGTAGTGTTTAAAATCTTGTGAGTAATCTAGAATAGTATTTTGAAGTAAATCAAACAAAGAAAAATTTTGACATCTCTATGCTAATATTTAATGTCTGTTTATACAAGTCATTTTGTTTCTTTGTGTGTGAAAAGTTTTTGATGGCTTTTTTTTATCAAACTGTGTTTGGCTTTGTTCTGTCTTGTGGATTGGCTTCTTGTGCCATGTGAGTTCTCTTAAATGCTTCTAATTTTTGTACCCCACTGCCCTTTACAGAGATAAAGGTAAGTGGGCGCTGTCTCATGAAGGCAGTATTCCATCAGTTGGAAAGAAGTAGTAATGATTGAGTATAGGGGCTCAGGCCCAATGTGCTGGGGGCAGTTATAAGAAAAGATAGTTTCTATTCTCAAGAGCCACGTGCACCAGACAAACCAACATTCGACTGTTCTTTATGACATCAAACATTGGCTGAGTTTAGCAAAGGTGAGTGTGGACATTAACTTCAGTCCAAGTAGAAAACTGAGGGAACAAGAAGTTCACCAACTTGAAGCTTCAGGAAGGCCTCTTGCGTTTTCTGATTTTCTGTTTTTACCTTCAAGTTCCAAACTCCTTGCTTTTCGTGTCTTCTCTTTCTTTCCAGCAAGCATGATGGTTTCCTTTCTCTCCTGTTTCCCAGGATATTATTCCTCAGCCCCTATTGGATGAGTATGTGTCGATGACCGACCCAGCTCGAGCCCAGACTGTCGATAGCGACATAGCCAAGCACTGTGCATACAGCCTCCCAGGGGTGGCGCTTACGCTGGGCAGGCAGAATTGGCACTGCCTGAAGGATACATACGCAACGCTCGCTTCCGACGTGAAGGTAAGAGTCGCACGTGAGCACAAGTGAGTCATCTGACGAGGAAGAGGCGGGAAGCTGCAGCTGGGCTCACGGCCTGAATTTACGTGGTCGTGGCTGCCACGTTTACAGATCTCGGAGGAAAGAAAGCTTTAAGTGGCCAACACCTGGCAGCATCAGTTTTACTCCAGAAATAGCCCTCACCTTTTGGTAACATGGCGCTGTGCTTGCTTTCTGTGGCTTCTGTCTGCTGTGCACCCAGTGGAAGGTACGTCGGACCCTGGCCTTCTCCATCCATGAGCTGGCTGTGATTCTCGGGGATCAGTTAACAGCTGCTGACCTGGTACCCATCTTCAATGGATTTTTAAAAGACCTGGACGAAGTACGAATAGGAGTTCTTAAACACCTGTATGATTTCCTAAAGGTAGGAAGAAGGATTAAAAAAACACAAAATAAACCTCCCCTCTTCAAAACAGTTTTTAAACCCTGCATGTGTAGAGTACCAGAGGAAAAAACAATAACACAGGTGTCTGGGTTCTTCAGTTCAAACATCCCATCCAAAATCTTACAGCGAGTGTTCTTTTGGTGATGGGTAGATGTTTTTCTACCTCTCCTCCTATCTCCCTGCACCTCAGAGGTCCAATTCTGCGAGGGGTGTGGACAGGTAGGCCAGCGTGCTCCCTGAGTCAGTGGGGGTCTTGCCCAGCTCTGAGCCTGGCTGGAATCAAGCTCACTCTGCATGCAGGGCTTTTCTGCAAGACGTTGCTGCTTCCCTGCTTTTTCCCCCCTAAAGGAATGATGAGTGCAAAAATAAGAATTTAAAATGGCCCAGAGAAACGAATTACTTTCATCCCCGAGACGAGCTGCCTGGAAGGGCTTTGGTGCCCAGCTTAGGGTTTCCTGTGGCACAGGAGCCAGCGAGCAGGGCCCACTCCCGGGGAAGCAGCCATGGTGCTACCTCGTGAACACACACAGATGGAGCTCCTCGAGGCAGGAGTCCTGCAGGAGTAAGAGCTAGGAGTACTGAGGACACCCAGGTCATGCAGGAGCCCAGGGAGAAGGCTGGAGGCACTCGGGGCTGCATGGCGTCTGTTCACAGCAGCGTCCACACAGTCCCACTGGGTGGTCCAGGCAGCAGGGGAAGGCACAGTTCTTGCTGGTGACAAGCGTATAATCTGAAGTAAAATAAAACAGTATATGTGGGCTCATGTTGAGAGATTATGTATTTTTATTTATATATACATTTTTAAAAAATAGTTGCTTCATGAAGACAAGAGGAGAGAATATCTTTATCAGCTTCAAGAATTTGTAGTGACCAAGTGGGGCTATGAGAAGGCAATTAGATGGAATACGTCTTCATTTTCCTACCTTGTAATTGATTTCTAAACTAGCAGTAATAGTGTTCTTTGGGATAAAGAGATTATGTTTTTATTAAGGGATAAACCAAACTCCAAAGCTCTAAGTTACAAATACCTCTGTCTCCGGGGAGACATTCATTTTCAGATGAAGACAGGGCTCGAGTCACTTTGGAATTAAAGTGTTCTGCTGTTCTATAAAGCAATTTATTCGAACCAAATAAAAGATGAATCACCCACTCTTCAGTATTTTCCTATTAATCGGAGCAGTTTTTTGCCAGTGCTTTCTTGAACATTCTGAGTGTAGCCCTCTCTGCAGGGCACAGTGTGGTTTAGGCACTTCAGCTTCCAAAGAACATGACGCTGCAGTGAGAGATATGAAAAGGTCTAGCGCAGATGAGACGATTATTAAATAAAACTGTCCCCCAAGGTGGCTCAGATCTGTACCTCATTTTGTGTGTGAAGGAGTTATTTAATTCCGTCTGTGCCGGCGAAGGGAAAGGGAAAGGTTTTAGCGATTCTAATAGAGTGAAAGCATCACTTTAAATAATTCTCCTTCCCGAGGTGCATAATGTGATTTCCGCAGTATCGAGTGGATTTGTTTGTGGTGGTGGTTGTTTGGGTTTTAGTTTTCACCTTGTTGAGATTTATTTCAGTATCTTTAGTTTTCATTTTCCTTCCTCTCAACTAGAAATCTCTCAAATAATTATCTTCCCTGTAGAAATCCATCAAGCTTTTGCAGCTATTCAGGATATGATTTGGCCGATGCCGGGGGCAAACTAAAAGATTTTCTCTTTGCTGTGATCTTTAATCATTATGCTTAATTTGAGCGATTGAGGTTTTAGTCATTATGCTATGTTCCCAGCCTATGTTCTAAGAGAACAGAGACAAAAATAGGCCCAAGTTTTTCATGAAAGCATTGTGCCCTCTAGCGGCAGTGTGCGGAAGCTCCGCCAGGTCCGTCTGGGGGCGGGCTGACCGGCTTTCCAGCGCTGGGGCTGGGGCTGGGAATTGGGTGGGGGGTGGAGAAGGGGACGCGGCTGGGGATGGGGACGGGCTGGCGTGCTTCCCGGGGACGGGGACGGGGTCAGGGGACCGAGGATGGGCTGACCTTCCCTGGGCTGGGTACGGGGGCCAGGGGACCCGGACCCGGACAAGACCGGTTTGGGGATGGAGCTGAGGTGTGGGGTGGCTCGGCTAGCATGTCCAGACAGCATTATCTCTGAGCGCTGTCTCCCATATCTGCCTTGGTTATTGAAGCCAAAGCCACTGATAAGAATTCTGTGCTTCTGTGCCCATGATACTGGTATCATTTTCCTGAAAACAGTGCTTTTTGATATGAAAATATTCACCAGCACTCCTGGCTTCTGGTTCTAACTTCCTTCAATCTCTTTTTCATTTCCTTTTGTTGCCAGTGTGGAAATAATGCCATTTATTTTCATAACCTTCTCCCCGTCCCCATGTAGAAAACAGTGAGAGCTCTGCAGTAGATTTCCCCACCAGCCCGAGGATGAATTCCCCCCTTCGAGTAAATCGCTGTTATTTCTCTCCAAGCGGACCGGCTGCGTTTGAAAAGCTCTGCAGAGCCGGAGCCGGCCAGCAAAAACAGAAATTTAATGTGCAGCTCCAGGATCACTGTGGAGGCAGTGAAATCTCATTAGAGTGTTCCTTCGTCTGTTGATCTTTGGGAATTTCAGTGTTCTGGCTATTTTTAGGTTATCTGATTTTTAAAGTTTTATGTGCTTTCCAACTGATAACCTAAAATTGAAATAGTAAATCCCTATTCATAAATTTCTCAACCCCTGTTTTACCAAGTGTAATTTATGTCCTTTTTATTTGATTTGTTTGTGTGTGTGAGATGAGGAATTCAGGTTTTTCCCCACTGTTCTTTGCGTGGCCATTTTACTCAGTGCTCTGCGTTCGGCATTTCCTTGACCGGAAGCCTCCCTCGGTCTTCATTGCCCTTCCTCCAAGAATGGCTGTTTTTTGGTTTGTTTTTTTTTTAATCTATAAGATGAAGTAAGAGTAAAGAGAAAGAAATAAGATGGGGTTTTGCCTCCCAAAACAATTTCTTTTTCTTTTAAATTTCAGGCAGCTGATACTAATTTTGGAACTCTATAATCCCAATGAGGTTTATGATTATTTAATGCATATTGCCTTAAAGCTGTGTGCAGATAAAGTTTCCGAAGTGCGGTGGATCTCCTTCAGACTAGTAAGGAATCATGGCTTTTTCTGTTTATGATTTTTGGAAATACTAATATGTATGTTTCTTCCATTTTTAACTCCTTTATTTTTTTTCTGGGCTTAATTTGTCAGTTTACCTGTGAAACCAGCTTTTATATTTTAGAATTAGGAACTGTATGACAGTTTTATCAGTTTGTAAGATAGCCTTTTTGTTAAACTGTATGTTTCAGGGATGGGAATTGTAGGTAAGTCATTTTATAAATGAAACCCTTTAAATAGTGGCTTAGTGTTTCTTTTAAACCCGGGTTTGGTTTAATCTACAGCATGAATTTATAGAAAAGTAATTAGTAAACAAAGTAGATCCTATTTGATATGGGTTTACACCAGCTGAAGACTGGGGTAAAGGGGGAGAATCTCATTAGAAAATATTATTGATTTACTAATGGTATTAAAATTTTATAAAAATGACATGTTCTGAAAGGTAATGATTTAGCTATTATGCAAGGGTACATTTTCTCAAGTTTGGAATTTTAAGATTAATAATGTATTTTTTCAGTGCCAGTCCCTTGTTAAATTTTATTTTAATGAAGGGCTTTATGTGTGTTTGTGTCTGTGTATTTCTATATATTTAGACATCTTTTATCCTCTGTGTTCTAATAATTACTATAACAAAAATTACTTTCTCCCATGCTTATAAATTTATTTTAAAGATGGAAGGGTACATAAAAATGTCTAGTTTCCATGTAAAGTAGTATTCATAATTCAAATAGATGGCAGTATTTTATATTTGCTCTTCTGATTTTTTTCACAGGTTGTGGCAATTCTGCAGAAATTCTATTCAAACAGTGAAAGTGCTTTGGGGGTAAATTTCATCAATGAACTCATCCTAAGGTTCCGGCACTGTTCGAAGTGGGTTGGAAGGCAAGCTTTTGCTTTCATTTGCCAGGTGAGCCTGGCCTGGGGGGAATCTGCCCTGGGCACACAGTTGCCATGTGTTGCTATCAGGTGCCCCAGACGAAGAATCCAGGCCTGAACTTGGGGATCAGTGGACCAAACCCCCTTATCTCACAGCAGATTGGAACCAGCCCAGTCAGGCACAGTGACTCAGGGTTTCCCAACCTGTACATGTACTTGTCGTGTAGATATTGATTGAGCACCTACTGTTTGCCAGACACGCTCTTGATGCTGGAGACAACCTCCTGTCCTCCCAGCACCTTCCATCATGAGGGGAGGGCCAGACCCAGAGCTCTGCTCCTGCCATGTCCAGTCCAGGGCCGTGTGCATCTCTGCCCTCAGCGTGGCCAGCTGCCTTGGAAGGAAGGGGGGAGTGAGGACAGAGCAGCAGGTTAGGGCAGAGACTCTTTAATATTGTTTGAGTGAAGTTCATGTCAGCCTGTCCAGCTCCTCAACTCACCCCCTCTGCTTAGCCTCTTGGGCATGAGGGTGTGATTCGCGTTTGGCTGGGGCAGTTGGCTGCCGTTTCTTGAACGCCTCTGTGTGCCAGGTGTCTAATCCTCAGGAATAAGATCTACTGTGTGTTGAGTTTGGTACATCCATTTAAGACCGATTTTTAGATGAAGCAGTTGAAACCCAGAGAGGTTAATTAACTCGCTCAGGATCACACAGGAAGTATTTTCAGCTAACGTGTTATTTTAAAAGTCTTAACCTTTCTTTATGCACATGTACAAAGGTAGAGGGACTAACGCAGTGATGGCGAACCTATGACACGCGTGTCAGAGGTGACACGCGAATTCATTTTTTTGGTTGATTTTTCTTTGTTAAATGGCATTTAAATATATAAAATAAATATCAAAAATATAAGTCTTTGTTTTACTATGGTTGCAGATATCAAAAAATTTCTATATGTGACACAGCACCAGAGTTAAGTTAGGGTTTTTCAAAATGCTGACACGCCGAACTCAAAAGGTTCGCCATCACTGGACTATGTAATGAATCTTGGGAACCCGCCACCCAGCTTTGTCAGCAATACAGGAAAACCATGATTAGACTCCACCTGACCTCAGGTCCCAAAGCCCCCTTCTTGCCCTCCTGACTTCTCCCACTGAAGGACTCACCAGGGCCCCTGTTGGGCTGGAGGGGCATCATAGGGGTACTTTGGCCATCACTTTGAAAAATGCCAAATTCATAGGCTTGTAAAGAAGTTGGAGCTCCAAATCATTTTTGGAGAAAGGGTGAATGAGGTATTTTTGCTTTTATCTTTAAACTAGTGACCCAGTGCATGGATTTGTGCTCATTGAAAGGGAATTAATTAGAAGGTGGCCAGCGCGGTGGGACTGGGCTAGACGGGCTGGACACGCCCTGAAGCCAACCTCCCGTGGTCCCTCCCCAGTGTCTGCAGAGTCAGCGGGGTCTCTCCGGCCAGTGGGGTCCCTCAGCATGGCCTGGCCTGTGGGGATCAGGCTGAAAACAGCTCTCCAACATCCCCCGAGGGGTCCCGATGTGCGAGAGGGCACTCTGCAAAGTTACTGTTGTACAGGGTGTGGAACACAAACACAAGTGCGCAGTAAACTAGATTCGGGGCCGATGGTGCCCCAGCAACAACATAACACACGGCCGAAGGTGGAGTCACGCAGCCCTGCGAGGAATTGGGCTCCCTCCTCTCTGGTTTTGGGGTGCGTCACCCAGGAACCGCTACTGCCAAGTCACTGTAGCTTGGGAGCTCCTGCATCGAGTGTCTGCCCCCTGGTGGTCAGTGCACGTCATAGCAACCAGTCGGACAGGCGGAGGGACACAGCATATTAACCTTTTATATACATAGATTCTTCATCTCAGATTTAGAAACTACATGATGAAACAAAAGTAAAAGATGCCAAAGCAATTTTGTTCAAGAACAAATTTTTTTTTGCACTTTCATTAAATTCATCATTAAACATTTAGAAAACCCACAGTAATAGCAGCACAAGGAAAGGGCTCAGCCAAGACGCCTTGCTAAGGGTCATGTGGATCATTACTAAATTGCAGCCCCAGGGAGAGAGCACCATCTGGAGGCTGAGGGCCGACTTAGAGCCAAACCACCAGCTGGAAGCCTTGGGCCAAGTGGCCTCTCTGCACCGGTGAAATGGGGGAGCAGCTTCCGTGCCTGCCTCCTGGTGTGGTCCCGAAGCTTTAATGAGCCGATGCTTCTGAGTCACCTTGCGCGTGCCGGCACCTGGAGGACACTCAGTACGTGATAGCTGCTGCAGTTCCCAGCAGTGGGAAGATCTGTAGGACACAGATCTATAGATTCCGCACACCTGGTTTGGAATCTCCACCCTGCTGCTGCTTGCTGGTCACTGCCACATTGGACCATAATTTCCTCATCTATAAAACTAGGCCGCCAGGGTTGGCTGTGAGAATTAAAGGTGCGAACACTGGTAAGACTTCTTAAGTGGAGAAGCAGTGAGCAGATGCTGGTGGTGGTACAAGAGCCTTGTTTACAGAAGCCAGGTACTGGATGGGGTCGGTGGTCTGGCTGTCACTTGACAGGCTTGGCCCCTGCCCTCAGAGCTTGGGCTCCAGTGAGTGATGGAGGTGAGAATTCTTCACCCTTACTGGTGGTCGCTATGCTAGCCTCTGCAAGAATGATCTGCCATCCCCACCACCTTGCCATTGTACAGATGAGAAAACGGAGGCCCAGGAAGGTGAAGCAAGGCCACAAAGGCAGTAAATGACCAAGTCAGGTTTTGAACCTGGACCTGTCTGACTCAAAGCCTTTGCTTTCTCCACTAGATATTGTACCACTTGTACCTCAGTGCTTGGCGAGGAGTTACAAAATGTTAACTGTGTTTCTGACCAGATCAGTAGTTGAGAGTTTTAAGTTAAGACACACATGCCCCTCAGACCCACAGATTCTGAAACTGCTTCTTTGGGATTACAGAAGTGGGTGTTTGGAGGAGAACCGTGCCGATCACCATTGAAATGTCGGTTCTTTATCTTTTCATCACAGGCAGTGGTGAGTGAGGAGTGTATCCCTGTGGACCAGTTTGTGGAACACTTACTCCCCAGCCTCCTGAGCCTCGCCTCAGACCCTGTGCCCAATGTCAGGGTGTTGCTCGCCAAAGCTCTGAGGCAGACACTCTTGGACAAGGGTACGTGCACCAGCTTTCTGAGCTTATACCTCTTAAACTTGATCAGGTAGCAATGAGGTTTCCTCGCTAGGAAATCGTGGCAAGTCATGTGATAGCACACTTCCGATTTATAATATAAGTTAAAACATTCACTTTCATGTATATTTTATGTTATTCACAAAAGGACTGAGGAAATCAACGTGGTTCAGTTTTTACATTTAATCAACATGCTAAAATGCAAAATATTGCATAATCTAGAAAGGAAGGAAAATGCAAATTTTGAGTTATGATATACAGATTATGAGAGGTAGCAAATTTAAGCCTGAACTACAATTAGGTTTTAATGGTCTGGTCTTGTAGTCAGTAGGAAAAAATATATTGCTCAACCTGGTCAGTTTTCACCTGAACAGGACTTAGTATAAGATAGGGGCCTTGGATAGTTCACTTCTACTGGAGGGAAGAAAAGATAATACTGAAAGTTTTTTAGTTATAATTTTATAAGTATGCCTACCAATTCTTAGGAGTATATCTTTAAAATTTAGTATATACTCTTTGTTTAAGGCAATTTGATCACTTTAAAGGACTTATTTATATGATAATTCTTTGAAAAATGATGTATTGTCCTAAGATTTGGTTTAAGAACCCCCAAAGTAGAAGATGTTTTAGAACACAATTCATGGCACACGTGATTCAAACTCATGGTTTCTCTCTCTAGCATACTTTAGAAATGCCGGCCACCCTCATCTTGAACTCGTTGAAGAGACCATCTTAGCTTTGCAGTCAGACCGGGACCAAGATGTCTCCTTTTTTGCCATGCTGGAGCCAAAGCGGGGGAATCTTGCGGACACTACCATGCTGGAGAAACAGAACTGAGCTCTGGGATCGCTCACAACCGCTCCTCCTGTACTTGGGGCACATCTCTTATGTAATCAGACCTGCTGAGGGAGGGAAATTTCTGAAACTCAG